GGTCCTTGAATGCGTCCAGAGGAGGGCAACAAAGCTGGCGAAAGGGCTGGAAGGGATGTCCTGTGAGGGGCGGCTAAGGACTTTGGGCTTGTCTAGTTTGGAGAAAAGGAGGCTGAGGGGCGACCTCATTGTTCTCTGCAGCTTCCTGAGGAGGGGAACTGGAGAGGGAGGTGCTGATCTCTTCTCCCTGGTATCCAGTGATAGGACATGTAGGAATGGCTCAAAGCTGCACCAGGGGAGGTTTAGACTGGACATTAGGAAGCATTTCTTTACCAAGAGGGTGGTCAAACACTGGAACAGGCTTCCTAGAGAGGTGGTCGATGGCCCAAGCCTGCCAGTGTTTAAGAGGCATTTGGACCAATGCCCTTAACAACATGCTTTAACTTGGTCAGCCCTGAAGCGGTCAGGCAGTTGGACTAGATGATCGTTGTAGGTCTCTTCCAACTGAAATTCTCTATTCTGTTCTATTCTATTTATCAAGCTTATGTTCCCCAACCTTAGGAGCCCCCGGCCAATTAAGTTTTCCCTTGATTGTCCCCATCTGAAACATTAACAAAACCAAGGACAATAGAGAATAATGATTTGGCAAATGCTGCTGAACTGCACAAGCAAGAAAAAAATCACTGCTCTCATTTTTTCATTCTAATAGTGCTGGCAATAAAAGTTCCCTCTTTCCCTATTTGACTCAGGATTCATTTTAACCAACTTGTTCTGCTGGAACTAGGTTTCAGAATTAGTCAAAATATATAAGATATCCAGAAAAACATTTTCTACCCAAGTTTTATATATATATCCTCTATTGTACAAGCTTTGTCGTTCTTCAAACCCTCAATTTCAAATGAGCTATTAGGAAATACCAGCATAAGCACTGATGCCAACTAAAGCTTGCATGTCTCCCAAGTCAGTGTTACAAAACGTCCTTAACTACAGCAATTTGACCACTGCGTAGTGCCATGCTCTTAAAAAAACCTGACAGAAACATCTCAAGATAGGCAAAGCACAGCTCACAATTGAGTCTTCAGAAGGTGCCTCACTGAATCACTCACTGAAGCCACCTGCTGCCTGCACTTCATGACGGCATCCCATTTGGAAGGTATCTTCAAGTGCTGCATCAAACACTCCTGTAACGTGCAGACACGGTGCGGAAGGAAGCCACCCGTTGCCATTGAGAACTGCAGAGCATCAGCAACCTGTGATGGAAGGGATCAATATGCCATGACCAGCAGCCGTTAACCTAAGGCAAAGAATGTGGAGGTTTGACAGTGGGGATGCATATTAGAAGTAAAGTACGCTGCAAACAAATTAATCCTCATTTTGACTGCATACAGTTGCAGAGCTAGTAATCTGACTCCTTAAAGCTGTTAAGTTACACAAAAGGGTAAATTAAGTTTTAAGAATGACATATAGGTTATATGTTGTGTTAGTCTAAGGCTCCTTCTAGCCCAGTACTCCTGTCTCCAGACAGCAGGTGGTTAGGAGCAGTATCAGAAGAGAGTAAACATACAGTGATACTTCCCCAGGATACTTATGGGTTTGCCTTTTATCTAAAACCTGAAATAGTGATGCAGCGTAAGGAAAACATGATGAAAGAATATGTAAGTTGTCAAAAACCTTTTGCCCAAAACCTGATTTTGCCAGCAAGACTCATCTTTGACAGCATACAGAGCCAGAAGGGAAGCAGACAACAGCCTCCAGCAGCGACTGCATGGCATGGTGTTTGCTTGTTTCTCATCTGGGTTTCATCTCTTTTACCCTTTTGCAGTAAGAGCAGGAACAGCCCTGCTGAACACAAAGATGAATGGGACTATTGCAACGGGTGCAGAGAGAAGACTGGAAAAGAGTCCACTCACCAGGGGAATGGAGAGGAAAAAACCAAAAAGCCTGCATACACACTCAAAATCTGAGACTGAGCTATCTGTCATTAGAACAACCTACCCTTCAGACTTCCTCTGCTACTCAGAAGCCTGGATTCCCACTCCGGTCCCCTGAAATCCCCACTGACCTCTCATTGCCCTTTTCTCCTCACTACTGCCTCCTGAGAAACCTTGAGCCAACACTCAACACAAGCATCCACAATCCCACCACCAAAACCATCAGCTTACAGGGCAGCCCAGTTTTACTGCAAGGGTTACAGCAGAAGCCACTGTTCAAGCTGTTCTACCACACGCTGCCCATGTGCTACCTAGATCAGACCACGTAGTGCTTGGCAGTACCAGCTCAGCCCCTGCAATAGTGACCACAGAATTGTAACTGACCTCTTCTGGCCTCTTACAGTGAGGGTAAATTCCAAGACTAAACCCCCATTCCTAACTTATCTATAAAGTCTTTGGCGGGGCTGGGGGGGAAATGTCTTGTCCAACAGCAAAGGCAAACAAGCTGGTATGCTTTATTAATGACTAAAGCTGCCTCTAAGGCATCATCTAAATAGCTAACTGCTGCCTTCCCTGAGAGAGAAGCCATGTCTTTGCTAAGCCTACCAGATGAAAGTGCTAAGCCAATCCATTTACCGAATTTCCAAGAAATAAAGACTGTATGAAGGTATTATGAAGAAAATGCAGAATGTTAGAGCACCACAAGTAGAACAAGCAATCTTGGACTAAGAAAGAAATGTGATACCTCCTATGCTCTGTGGTAGGACAGGATCTAGGACTGCCTATATTTCTGCTAGGCTGACTACATTGCTGCAGTCCAAAGAAGTCTACAACCACCAGCTGAAAAGCGGCAGGAAACATACCTGGAGAAAGGAACTGCAACAATTCAAACTGATAAGTTCACTGAAGAGAAGAAAATGGAGGAGACCCAGGTGAAGCTGACCTTCACTGGACTGTAAGCACAAATCACCAGGTAAAGAGGAAGTTTCCATCACTCATTACTGAACAGTCCTTTGTATTGTACTTCTGACCACCAAAACCTTCTCTGGCTTTTTGCTCTCAGCGGCCAAATGCAGATGAAGAACCACCTCAGGAAAGACCTTCTCAAGCAATCAGTTACTTTTACTCAAAGTCAAAACAAAGATGATGTTCAAATCTATGGAAATATATTCCATTCTTCTAAATGGTTAGAGATAGAGTTTCTAGTAAAAAATTTCAATGTCTTCCAAACAACGAGAGAAACGACTTAAATATTTAAACAAAAATGAAAGCATCTTTGCAATCAATATTCATAAGAAGTCTAATCTGAATGAACAAGGTTATAGAATAAACTTGCCCGCAATGAAAACAACGTTTTAGCTTTCACTGTGAAAATCTTTGTCCAAAGTCATTGCATGCTAACGGCTTGAATTCAAGGGCAGAAAAACTACAACACACTGAAGAGTAGTGTATGTGCATTGATCTGTGGAACCAGACAGCAACAGTGACTTCTACACTTGTACATTTTATGATTAAACCTTGCATGGACCTCTGTCTTATGGAAAGTATCAAGCTGTCAAACTTTCTTTATTCTTTCAGCACACATCTCTAGGAAGAGTTTTATTACTTCTTTTGGTAGTACACAGATATGCAACCAACAACATTTTACAATAGGCAGGGATTTCAGAGCATGAGAATGCTCTAGCCTAATGATGCAGCATAGAAGTGTCCCAGAATGCAACGTTAGGGATGCAAGCACTGAAAACAGCCATTTGCCTGCTCACTATGCAGCTTTTTAGGCTGCTATAGCCCAACAGGGACAAACACACACCCCCCGAGACAGTCAAATGTGAAATAGCAGTATCAGACTTCCACAAACATTATCATTAAAAGTTACTTCAACAGGTGATGTTTAAGTACTATAAGAACGTCTGCGGGGAAGACAGTCAGCGAACATCAGAAACCTTTCACTTCCATCCTCCACATGTTGTGTTCATTGTATTAGGTTACTTATTGTAAGGAATAAACAGTTGCAGCAACTGGCCAAAACCCAGGGATGAACCACACTTTTCAAATTATGCAGGCGGGATCCCATCTAACTCCGAGTTCTTCATTGCATTGCTGTGTTTTTTAAGCAGTCTCACTTGTGCACACAGCCTGTTCCAATTTTAACAACACTGAGAAACTGTCTCTAAGAAGCGCTTCACAAAAAGCACCTATGAGAGTTTGCTCAGAGGTGTCTCCCAGTTATTTACTCCAGTGGTACAGAGTAGAAGACAAGACAGCTTAATTCTACAATATCAGGTACACTGCAGGGTAGCCAGAACCAGACTACTTCACTAGCTTACTTACATTAGAAGTAGGATTCAGGCCAACGAATCAGAGTAATTGAATCTAAGCCTAGAGATCTACCAGTGCAAGAAAAGCATGCATGTCAGCTCATACCAAGACAACAGAACAATGAGTGCAATTCTGTGTATCTCAGACCCTAGGGTGGATAGTTCTGGTTAGTTGTTTCCACTGTATCAGTTACATGTTCTAGCCAGTACAGTTGGGAGCGCTGGTGGGAATTTTCACCCCTACTTTTTTCATGAAGTCAAGACTTAACACTGACACTGACTGATATTTGACCTGTAATGGAATAACATAATTTTTAGGGGCAAAAGGCCAAACTAAGATCAGAAAGGGACTGAGAGAAACCTCTGCTGTATAAAGCTTACTACGTAGCCCAGATTAGGGCTTTGAAGAGTTACTATAAGCAGTCATATCTGTGACATGAAAAGTCAGTATATAGGCAAGGACAAGTCATACATAACTATGCATAACATATCCATGCCCATTATGAAAGATCATAGCCATTATGTTATTTTCTTCTTTCTCGAAAGGCTCTAATTCTCCTGTTAGTCACGCAACATTAACTACCACAACTACCAGGGCCAGCACCAGCAAAAACAGATTTTTGTGGTAACCTGGCCTGTTCTCTCACCTCCACCACTGCTTTTATTAGCAGGTGCTTCCCAGTGCTGGATACCTGTAGCCCGAATCTGTTTCTACACTTGTGAAAGGCACAGAAAGAGTAACAAAGAACATAAAGCACAAGCTGACGCGGCTCCTGTTTAAGCCACAGTAGCCTCAGGTTGTGCCAAGTTTGATCAAGACCAGTTAATACATCTTAAAAAAAAACCACATTAAACTTGCTGCTAATACTAGATATTAACTACCTTTTAAAATGGGTCTACACAAGACTAAATAACACTATCAGCCTTGCCTGCTGGTCCTTTTTAGCTAGAACAAAAATGCTACGTTTACATGGTTCAATAACTGTCACATTCGAGTAATGTTAAACCTTCTCTGAGAAAATGCCCTGAACAAGGCTGAAGTTTCTCTTGTCGAAGCTTTTGTTCCCAACCAGAATATTTGAAAGGTACCTGCGTATCAAAGACATTGAAGAGAAGGACACCGTACTGGTGAAAGAGGCAGTCTGAGATCCAGCGGCAGTCATGCATAACCTGAAGTAAGGAAGAGCTGTCAGACAAACTTGTGTCCAACTGCAACTTTTTGGTGCAGCTAGATCATCATATACGTATATGACCTCTGTCACCACAAATGTCCTCACACACCCTGTACCCTTACCTTCAAGATGTTTTTATCTTCCAACACCATTTGTAATCCATTTTTGAAAGCCTGAGGTCCCAGACGGAAGATATCAAATAGAAAAATATGGCTCTTTGTTGCTATCTACAACAAATTCAGTTGCAGAGAAAATGAGTGAGGGAGAGAAGAACAAAGGATTTGAAAGTAGGAGAGTGCGCTCCGTTGCCCACAAGCCATAATCTCCTATGTACAGGCTTATGTTGGCGAGAGCAGGTTTAGCTTCCTTGATGCTAATCCATAAACAAGTCTTGTTTTTTCCAGAGATGCTCAGAGACTCTCACAATAATTAGAAAGAACAACCCAGTAGCCTACTATACACAGTTAAGTACAGCATTTTGAGACATATCAAGAGCAAACCCTATGCACAGTACTTAAAATAAATTCCTACACCTATTATGGTGACATTTTTAAGAACCACTTCCAACAAAGTTTTTGTGCCCATGACATTCCTTTCATTGTCAAAGACCACTACCAAAGAAACGAAGGATATCGTTTTCCATCCTAGCATTTCAAACAGGATATAAAATTTAGGTTTTGCCTATGTTCAAATTCATAGTGGTTTAACAAAAGATGTTATTTGAAAGCAATTTAGCCATACCAAAGCAAACATTTTGTGGACACTTACTTTTGCATAAACGAGTTAAGTTTGAAGCATGAACTCCCACACAAGTTTTTGCTTTGGATAAAGACACTCACTTTTAAACCGACTTAAAAATAAACTAAGACAATTTTGAGCTAATATATTAAGCTATTCTCCTTTCTGTCCCTTCCTTTTCAGATGTTGATAACGTAACAGCCAATTAAGATACTGTATTATCTTTACGGATTTACTCCTCCAATTATATTGGCATTGTGATTAGGTCTTGCAGTTTTTCAATAGGTAACAGCTGTACTAGTGCAATAACTCTACCTGTATACAAGTACATAAAGATGGCAAACCAAATACGTTGTATTGTTATATACAAATGTATATATTACATACAAGTTAAAAGTAATTATTATTGCCTTATAACAGCACAATTCTTTCTGTAACAAGTCTCTTTTGAAATACCTGATCTGTCTTGAAGAACATCATATCCCTTACCAAAACAGTTACGTGAGTAAGTCTTAAACACAGGCTAATCTTTACGGATTTACTCCTCCAATTATATTGGCATTGTGATTAGGTCTTGCAGTTTTTCAATAGGTAACAGCTGTACTAGTGCAATAACTCTACCTGTATACAAGTACATAAAGATGGCAAACCAAATACGTTGTATTGTTATATACAAATGTATATATTACATACAAGTTAAGTAATTATTATATTGCCTTATAACAGCACAATTCTTTCTGTAACAAGTCTTTTATGAAATACCTGATCTGTCTTGAAGAACATCATATCCCTTACCAAAACAGTTACGTGAGTAAGTCTTAAACACAGGCTAATCCCCAAATGTTTCTCAGTTATGCCTCTGTTTAGTGGCACATTTTGGGAAATACCTGCTTCTTACCTCAAGCCATGAGAGTTTTCCATGACGACACAAATTAACACCTTCTGCTGCTATACTGACAACACACTGCTGTTTTAGGTGCAGCACCTAATGAAAAAAATAAGGATAAAATAAGTAGTGCCAGAGAATGATAAACAGAGGGACAAATAGTAAACTGCAATTTTTCTGGTCATGATCCATATTTAAAAACATAAATACAGATAAAAACCACAATGAATCTCAGATATATAGTGATCCAAGAGAAACAAACACAGTATCAGTCCAGTTATGGATAGACAGCTGGAAATTCCGCAACTAGAAACAGCAACGATAGATTTAGCAGAGATTATGGATAACTAAAGAATATAGACTCCCCCGATCCCCTCCCAAGAAATTCTCCTAAGTAGGTTTTAGGAACTTCCTTAAGATCACATAAAGAAGATGTTCCTTTCAGTTAAAAAGGAGAACTCATTTTCTAAGGTATAAAAGAAAAACTTGTCACTCTTACAGACATGAAAAGTTTTCAGACAATTAAGATAAAGCAACCTGTAGTGTGCACGTAACACAAGAGTAGAAGGCATAAACAGAAATAAAAAAGCCAGCTTCTTTTTCAAGCAACAGTTAGATTCCTCTGTAAGCACGGAAATCTCTTCCTGTGGGGAACAGCTTTTTCCTCTGTATGTGCAATAGATTTACCATAGTAAGAGCCCAAACTGCAACTAATGTTACTGCAAGACAAAATGGCATGGAGGACCTATAGTATGGCTGGTCTAGTTCAGGATCTAAAAAATGCTATTAAATTTAATAATAAATCCATCATTGGCTCCATGTTCTGAAACAAAACCTTTCTACCAAGTCCGCTTATGTTGTTATACATGATTTAAGAGAAAAAGGTCCAGGCACGTCTGGAGTTCCAAATACCTACAAAAGCAACACAATCAATTCCCTCTCCAAATGCCAACAAATCTTCATGTTGTTCCCTTCCTAAACAAAATAATCGTTCACTAAATAGTAATACTGACCCTTCACCTCAGTTACTGGTGATAGAGTCTGAGAACAGCAACCAACACACACTGATGCAGATTCACATCCACCCACTGCAAACTCGTGTGCACTGCAGTCTTTCCCTGCATGTATGCACACTTTAAATATACTTTGATGCCACCAGAGATACCATTTCTACTTGACTTAAAGAAGCCAGTTACTACCTATTACTCAAATTTCACTACAGTCTGCAAAAGTGATTTCCAGTATAAGTCGTCATGAAGCAGCGCTCACAATCCTGCCACCTAATGGATCTACTGGCAATTAGAACAGAACAGGCTTAGAAGTCATACATGCTGCATAAGAGCTTTCATTACTACTTACTGCTGGGCCAAATTTCTGCTGGAAACAATCAACAACTGTGTACTCCACGTTCTCTTCTTCCTTCTTCTCTGAAAGGAAGGGGAAAAACCCCCACATTAGACACTCCCTCTACTTGAGTAAACTTTGCACAAGGTACGTATTTCAGTTGTACAATCACTCTTAAGTCTTCTGGTTTAGCTGTTCAGTTCTTCCCTCTCTACTTCCTGAACACACCCAGACAGATTACTGAACTGCCTGATTCAAATGTGTACAGTCTAGAGCATGAGCCAAAATTCTGGTTTTTGACAGAAGAACTGGCTGTTTAAAAGTGAGTTGCAGCGTTACTTTTTGTCGTGATGATGCACAAAGGAAACAAAAAGGTTTCAGTTTAAAAAATTACATCCACTAAAAAAAAAAAGCACCCTAATTCCCAGGCTTGTCCAGGGAAGGAAAAAAGACTGTAGCAAAGACAAAAATAACAGACAGTGACACCACAGAACATGGACAACTAAGTGATCAGGCAACGAGAATTTAAGCCAGATTTTAGTATTTTTAACACCTGCTTAACAATGTCTAACGAACAGGTAAAGAAGGGCTCTCAAAGATTCTCCCTTCTCTTTAGCTAAGATACAAATGTTAATAATATGCATCCATGACAACAGAAGGACAATCTTCTAAACTCTAAAATAATAGTCAATTGAAAGATCGTAAGAACAAATTTTTAAAGGCTCTCCCAGATCACATCAACCCTTGCTCATTTTCTCCCCCACTACCCAGGTAAACACAGCTAACCTTCCTTTAGCCTACACAGGTCTTGCACTCTTGTCACAGCTGTACGAGAACAGAACGAGCTGATCACATTTTGGATCTGTACCTGGATATGTGTATACAGCAGGCACCACACAACCAAATCAATGCAAGTATGTGACAGCTGGCACAGAACCAAAGAGCAATAGTCTTATTGAGCTCTGAGTTATCTATCATGCCACATACATTTCAGGAACAAGTATAAGATTAAAACAATCACCAAAGAAGAATGCTCACTGGCTGAAGCACTTTGATTTCTCCAAAAGATCAGTTGTGCCGCTCAGCCACTTTTACAGTTGATGAGAGCTACAGGATAAACATTCTGGAAAGCAGATGAGTTTCCTTCTGATGTTGTGAACATCTGCAGGCAAAGAGCATGTCTGCAGAAAACAGGCTCTGTACCTATCTTTCTGTGACCACTGTTCTTTCAGAATACATCCTGTTCTGATACAGGCAAACCAAGAGATCACAGCCTCTGGGAGAGATGTTGTCTGACAAAGACAAACTAACTACATTGCTTGACTAATATCCATATTACCTGAGAGGGAGTATTTTAAGCTATTTGAGGCTCTGAGCTGGCTCTCTTGGAAAACGCAAGGAGAACTCCGTGGGCCACAATCTGCTGGTCCTGTGTCTGCTTGTTTGTTCCCTTCAACAGCTGAAGTGAACCTGCATGAGCAAGGCAAACATACAGAGCACAGAAGTCAAAACATTACACATGCCATCAGCACTGACATTTTAATGAAGAAAATTATTTCATCCAATGCCATCTACCTGCATCCAGACAATGAACTGCCGCATGTGAAGCAACTTCCCAATCCAAAGTGCTTAAAAATAAAATATAAACTACACACAAAAAAAAAATAAGCTTATTTTGCACAAAAGGGCCTTTATTTCAGATAAAATTTCACATTTATTCTGAAAGTAAAAGGTGAAAGCAGAACCTGAATAGATGTTTACTGCAACGGTCATACCTGCATCCAGACAATGAACTGCCGCATGTGAAGCAACTTCCCAATCCAATGTGCATAGTTCTTAAAGATGATCTTGAAGCTACCCAAAAATAAGCTTATTTTGCACAAAAGGGCCTTTATTTCAGATAAAATTTCACATTTATTCTGAAAGTAAAAGGTGAAAGCAGAACCTGAATAGATGTTTACTGCAACGGTCAGCAATGGTTTCAAGGGAAGAAAGAGTTCAAAGTACGAAGAATGAAGTACCTGACCTGAGCCCAAGAACCACGCAATTTAAATATCTGTAAGTCTTTACACTGAATCAATAATATTTGGTCCATTAGTTAGTTACTGTAATTGGAAGGTGATTTTACAAGTTCACCAATACATAGAACAGTTATATCCACTGAAACGTTACTGTAATCAAATGGAAATTATTAAATCATATAAAATGGTAGCATCTCAGGACCAAAAAAAAAATAGTTAGCAACATTCACCTGACTGAGATGTCACATATAAGATGCTCAATTTCTACAACAGGACAGTCTGAGGTCAAGAATACTTCACTGGGAAATATGACTTATTAGTATAAATTTCCTAATATTGATATAAAACCATCCCATTACGATTATAGAGCTCCAATCATGTACCTCTCTATCTCAATAGAATAAAACATAAAAAAACCTTTCTGATCAGCCTTTAGATGTAGCTGAAGAATCTTGTATCTAAAATTGTATATTTAAAGGATTAACACAGGAGCCTGCTACCAAGGTGAGCATATTTAAGTTATGTGTGAATGTAGGCTTACTTAACAGGGAGAAAGAAGACAAGACAGCAGCAAGCAAGAAGACTGCCGCTAATCACAATTCTATGTGCTTTTTAATTATATTTTAAGGACTATTCAGTAGACACCACTTCATTCCTACTTCTCTTAAGAGGAAGAATAAACAATTCAAATGTGGTCTTGTGAGAAGACTCAAAGCAAAGTCATCCAGGAGCATGGGTCTGCAGGAGTTTGAAACATATTTTTACCAGCTTCCCAAAGTCACATTTATATATGTTTCGAGAGCATCTGTATAAACCTAACCTTCCCTGTGCAATTGTCCTGGAACTGTTCCACCACAGAAGAAGTGCTCATGGGAAATTCTCCCTGAAACCATAAGCTGACAAGGAAACAAACCAAGCAAATTCTTCTACCTAGGAACACTAGTGGAAAGAAAAAAAAAAAGAAAAAAGCGAGAGAGAGAAATTGTAAGCAATAGCTTGAAAGAACCTTTTACACAGTGGAGGTCTTCCACTCACCACCTTGTTCACCTCTTTAGAGCAGAGAAATACAAACCTGGCACAGCTGAGTCTGAACATCAGTATTATACTAAACGTAAGTGGTGGCTCCCCTAGCAAGCACATCCCACCCTTTCTCCTACTGTGAAAGGAAGGAAACATTTCAACGTACTCAGAAAGCATTGCTGTTCCGTTCCCTGACTCTGGTTCATCCAGCAATTCCACTGCAATAGAAAAAAGTAACTTATACTCTAGTGCTGACAAGCAACTTTTTGACACTTGTTATCTCCCAAAAAAAGGAGAACCATAACCGATACTAACAAACACAGGACATGGCCATACATGCAAAAAAATTAATTGAACTCAAAGTATAGTTTAAATAATTTTAAATTCACTCTGATGTACAAATCTACATAAAATAACGTATCAGTAGCCTAGATAAGGTGTATTTCAGAACTCTAGCATTTAAACAAGACTAATGGCTTAGCATCCCACCAAAAACAACGTCAGTATTGAACTACAATTAATTATTTTACAGACTATTACATATACAATAAAGCAGGTACAAGGAAAAAGGCAGAATGGAGTCAGTTAATCAGTTGGTAAGTCCAATAGCTACCTTCTAGCTACTTCCCCCTCAGCACTTTGCTCCTTGTCCCCAGAGCAAAGCAGATGCCAACAGAAAAGCACAGGACCTTTATATACTAGAAATGTTTTTTTTTAAATAATCCCATATTCTTATCACTAGCGAATCACGGAAAGTGGCTCAGATAAACAGACCATTTAATAGAGATGCTTTTGCGTGTGCAAATAAAAGCAAACCCAAGTTAACTAGAACTTTAAGCAATTTAACTTCCCAGCAGAGTCCATTAGTGAAAGTCTTGTACATATAAGAACATACACAATGAATGTAACTTGCCTTCAGGACGTAAACGGGGGGGGCACGCTTATCTCAACTGATCACCTTCGGAGTGGTTACTTTCATTAGTGGTCTTATTGGACTTTGTTCATTATTTAATTAATAAGCTTTAATGCAGTACAGCCACAAGACCTTCACAAAGTAGGGAATTATTATTTCACTGATAGATAATTGGGGAACAAAAGTTGTGTGATTTATACAACATTCTAATTCCTACTGATATTAGAAGAAAGATGTGCAACTGAAGAATTTAGCAGAGTGACCAAAAAAATGGATTTAAAATGCTGAACTAAGAGTGGGCATGATCCCTGTACCCCAAAATGCAGTAAGAAAAGCCTCACCATCAACTACTTCACGGCCAAAAAACATCTTTACTCCTGGAGTGCTTCTGCCAGTTTCCAAGTTCTTCACTGAAATAAGGGAGGGGAGAAAATACAGACATACATCAAGTTCCACTGTTTGGGGTAAAAGCTTATCGTTTGCAGAACAAAGGAAGACCACAGGAGCAGGTAGTACTATTGACTGGGGTGGGGGATCAACAAATGGGTTATCTTAAGTGACAGCTCTTTCACTCTACAGAAGAGGGTTTCCGTAAGATGACTGTGCACCGAGCAGGACACAACTCAAGGCTGCTACACCTACACAGTCTCACAGCTGAGAGCACAGGCAGGTGCTGCTAACTGCCACTTTAAGTGTACGTTTTATTCATCCCAGTGCCCGTTTTGGCTCCCGGGAAGCACCCACGGGCGCTCCGTGGAGCGCGGCGGGCACGCTCGGCGTGGGAGGCTGCCCACGCCACCTGCGCCACAGCGTCCACCGCGGAGCCAGGCGCCCCTGCACCAGCGCCTCTACCTCAGCGACCAGGCTCACAGCTCTGGGCTCGCCTGCACCCCTCCCTCTCCCCTCACGCATGCTGAGGCGGCACAGAGCACTCTGAGGCCAGCGGGGCGAGGCGCGGCCCTGCCCGCCGCCGCGGGGGGCCCCAACCTGCGCGCAGGAGGAGGCTCCGGTCGGGGTTCACGTGCTGCAGCACCCCTTGGAAGACGCCGCATTTTAAGGTGACTTTAACGGTTCTCTCCAGAAGGGCAGTGAAGCGCTCGCTGCTGAGAGCCATGCGACAG